CGCTTGGTCCACATCCCTCCATTCCTTGCATATTCATGTGCTTATCTAAAAGTCCCTTAAATGACCTTATCATGCCTGGCTCAACCTACACCACTGGCAGTGCGTTCCAGGCACCTACCACTCTCTGTGTAAAAACTTGCCCCTCATGTCTCCTTTGAATCTTCCCCTTCTCATCTTAAATGCATGCCCCCGACTATTAGGCATTTCAACTCTGGGAAAAAGATTCTGACTGTTAACCCTATCTATGCATCTCATAACTTTTGTAGACTTCTATTAAGTCTCCCCTCAGCCTCTGCCACTCCAGAGAAAACAACCCGCGTTTTTCTGGCCTCTCCTTGCAGCTCATACCCTCTAATCCAGGCAGCGTCCTGGTAAAAAACAAAAGATGCTGTAAATCAGGAAACAAAACAAAAATTGCTGGAAAAGCTCAGCAGGTCTGGCAGCATCTGTGATGGAAAAAACAGAGTTAACGTTTCAGATCCAGTGACCTTCCTCAGAGGAAGGGGCACCGGACCTGAAACGTTAACTCTGTTTTTTCCATTACATTTGCTGCCAGACCTGCTGAGCTTTTCCAGCAATTTCTGTTTAGCATCCTGGTAAACCTCTTCTGCCCCCTCTCCAAAGCCTCCACATCCTTCCTGTATTGTGAGACCCAGACTTGAACACAATACTTTAGGTGTGGCCTAACAAAAGTCTTATATAGCTGCAACATGACATCCTAACTCTTGTACTCAATTCCCTGACCGATAAAGACAAGCATGCCACAAACCTTCTTTAACACCCTATCTACTTGCGTGGCTACTTACAGGAAGCGATGGACTTGAACCCCAAGGTCCCTCTGTACATTAAGGCTATTCAGAGTCCTGCCCTTAACTGTATACTTTTCCTTAACATTTGATCTCCCAAAGTGCTGTACCTCACACTTAACTGGATTAAACTCCATCTGCCATTTCTCCGCCCATATCTGCAACTAATCTGTATCCCACTGTATCCTCTGACAACCTTCTACACTATCCACAACTCCACCGATTTTTGTGTTGTCTGCAAACTTACTAACCCACTCATCTACATTTTCATACAAGTCATTTAGATCATAGAATCTCCACAATGTGGAAACAGGTCATTCAGCCCAACAAATCCATACCAACTCTCTGAACACCATCCCACCCAGACCCATTCCCCTACCCTATCCCTGTAACTCTGCATTTCCCATGGCTAATCCACCTAAGCTCACATCTGTGGACACTATGGGGCAAATTACTGTGGCCAATCCACCTAACTTGCACATCTTTGGATTATGGGAGGAAACCGGAACAGCCGGTGGAAACCCACACAGACAGTCATACAAGGTTGGACCTGGACCCAGATCCCTGGTGCTGCGAGGACCAGTGCTAACCACTGAGGCACCGTCCTGCCCAATATATATATCACAAAAAGCAGAGGTCCCTGCAGAAGACCACTAGTCATGGACCTCCAGCCTGAAAAACACCATTCCACCACTACACTCTGTCTTCTATGGGCAAGCCAATTCTGAATCCACGAGGCCAAGTCACTGTGGACCCTATGCATCTTAATCTTCTGGATGAGCCTACCATGAGGGGCCTGTCAAAAGCCTTACTAAAATCCATGAAAACAACATCCACTGCTCTACCTTCATCGATCACCTCCTTGAAAAATTCAATCAAATTAGTAAGACATGACCTGCCCTGCACAAAGCCATGCTGACTGTCCCTAATTAGGCTATGCTTTCCAAATGTATGTAAATCCTATCTCTAAGTATTTTCTTCATTAGCTTCCCAATCACTGATGCGAGACTCATCGGTTGATAGTTTCCTGGATTATCCCTATTTCCCTTCTTGAACAGAGGAACATTAGCTGCTCACCAGTCCTCCCGCACCTCTCCAGTGGCTAGCGAGGACACAAAGATCTTGGTCAAGGCTCCAGCAATCTCCTTTCTTACCTCTCTCAATAATCTGCGGTAGATACCATTGAGCCCTGGGGACTTATCCACCTTAATGCTCTTCAAGAAATTCAACACCACTTTTTTCTTGATCTCAAAATGCCGTAGCATATTAGCATGCTCCACACAAATCTCACTATCCTCTATATCCTTCTCCTGGATAACAGCTCCGCCCAATTAATACTCCCTAGCTCCTGCCTAATACTTAAGTAATTTGCCTTCCCCCAATTTAGCACCTTCCCGCAAGGTCTTGAGTTATCCTAGTTTTATGGCTATCTTAAAACTTAAGGAGTTGTAATCACTGTTTCCAAAATGCTCTCTCACTTAAAGATCAGTCATCTGGCCAGACTCCCTATCCAGTACAAAGTCCAGTATTGCCCCACTTCTAGTTGGACTATCCACATACTGTTTCAAAAAACCCTTTTAGATGCACCTAACAAATTCAGCACTATCTAAGCCTCTTGTTCTAAGGGAGTCCCAGTCAATATTGGGGAAGTTAAAGTCATCCACTATGACAACTCTTTTTATTGTATCTTTCTATAATCTGCCTACATATTCGTTCCCTGGTGGCTGTTTGCGTAGCTGGGGGAGGGGGGGTTAGCGGTAGGGTAATCCTATCAGAGTGATTACACCCATCTTATTTTTGAGCTCTATCCATATTGCCTCAGGGGATGAGCCCTCCAGTCTGTTCTCTGACTGCAGATGTAACATTCTCCCTGATTAGTAATGCAACTCCTCCATCTCTTTTAGCTTCTTCTCTATCTTGTCTAAACCAACGAAACCCTGGAACTTTGAACAGCCAATCCTGTCCTTCTCTCAACCAAGTCTCTGTAATGGCCACAACGTCATTGCCCATTGTACTGGTCCAGGCTCTAAGCTATTCTCCCTTACGTACAATACTCCTTGCATTGAAACAAACACATTTGAGTCCATTAATATCATCATGTTCACTTACCTGTCTCTACCAGTCCTTTCTTTCTGATTTACGAGTCCTAATATCTACCGCCCCTCAAACCCTCTACTTGCTGACTTGCTGCTCTGATTCCCAGCCCTCTGCCACTCTAGTTTAAACCCTCCTGAGAAGCACTGATGAACCTCCCTGTAAGGATACTGGTTCTCCTCCACTTTAGATGCAACCCGTCCCTGTTGTACAGGTCATCCCTGCCCCAGAAGAGGTCCCAATAATCCAACAACCTGAAAACTTGCCCCCTGCACCAGCTCCTTAACCACGTATTCATGTTCTTTCTATTTCTTGTCTCACCAGCACATGGCACTGGCAGTAACCCAGCGATTACTACCCGTGAGGTGCTGCTTTTCAGCCTCTTTCCTAACTCTGTTCTCACTCTGCAGGACCTCATCCCCCCCGCTTTCTACCTATGTCGTTGGCACCAATGTGCACCACGACCTCTGGCTGCTCACCCTCCTGCTTAAGAGTTTGGTGCAACTGCTCGGAGACGTCCTACAACGTCCTGGCTGAGGCTGCACATAGACACAATATTTTCCATACTTTTACCAGGGCTATGGTGGAGCAGATAATCGGCCTGCTGAAGGTGAGGTTCCAATTTTAGATTGCTCTGGAGGCACCTTCCAGTGCAGTTCAGAGAGTGTGCTGCATAATCCTAGCCTGCACAACTGGAGGCAATGTGATGCTGAAGAGTTGGGAGAATGGCAGCAGTCTGCCATTAAAGAAGGTGAGTACATTGAGCAGAGGAACATCACCTTCAGCATGAGAGGTCTAGCATCAGGATCAATAAGCCACACAGCTACTTCTGATAGATATGGACCTCAACCAGGTCACTAATTAATCATTGACTTAAATCTGCTTTTATTTGAAAGGCAAGTAACCTTGGTTTATTCCCAGAAGCAAACAAAACTTTTCTGTTTGTTATTTCTTCACATTTCCTGTTGTTCAATAAAAGTTAACATTATCAATTATTTGACAGCTTTCCATAATGCAATGCTCCTAAATTAAACAAGGACAAGGCATTAGGGAAACAGTAGCACTCCGTTAGACAGGATTCTAACATGGTATAGCATGGCACGAAGGACAGGACACCTTTGCAGCTTTTTTCTTGCAGCTTCTGTTGTTATGACAATTGATCAGGCAGGCGATTTTGTAAAGAGGCGATACATTTGCGACTGAGACATTCTATTCAATGACCGTCACCCATGCTACCCCTGTGCCCTCAGAAGCTTTTCTTCCTCGTTTCTCTCCCCCTGCTTATACTGTGAAGAGTTAATCTTTCCTGGCAGCATCTGACCTGGTTCACAACTGGGCTTTAAATGTGGTGCCAATGGCTCAAATCTATATATATTTTAAGATGAACAACAAAGAATTGTGTGAAATAACTCTGTCAAGTTCATAGAGAAAAATCCTCCATGAAACTCCCCAAAATTGACACTTAGCCCAGGTGATTGACATAGATTAAAAAAAGCAGATACCATCCCTTGAGGAATCCCACCATAAACCTTCCTCCAGTCAGATAAACAATTATTTTACTACTCACTCTTTCCTGTCATTCAGTCAAATTTGTATCCATACTGTGAATGGCCCTTGCATACCATGTAACATGGTGTCAATGGTATAATGTAATTACAATATTTGGTTCTCAATAAACAGTAGTTACAAAGTCTCATGTCCAACACATCTGTCACATTTCTGATGTCATACTCCGTGTTTTAAATACGTCTGGGACTTTGAAGTAATTTTATCTTGATAACCAGACATCTCCCCAAGGGCTGAAGCAATAGATTTACATGCAGCTGTCAATCTATTTCCCTAAGCAATTATCCTCATCGACCACAGAATCAGAATATTTAGACATCATCCCTTCTGACAATAGCTAAGCAATGGGAACAAATTTGTTTAACTGACAACTTGCAGTTATTACAGCGCTTTAAACACAGTGGAATATTTTAAGGTGTTTCACAGGAGCGTTGCAAGCATCACAAACATGCTTAAGGTTTCAGACCATTTGAACAACTGCCACAGCAGATGAGTTAATGTCTTCAGAAATATGGTCGAAACAATCAGTAGTTCAGACAAATTTTATTACTGCAAAACCATACAAAATGTAAAATCTGCAACCACTTTACATATACCATAATTATGTAAATAAAAATAAAAACTATTGTGTAGTTACAACACAGAAATCTTAATTACAAAAATATTGATAAAACATTAGAATGATCAGTGCTCTCAACATAGCTGAGATCTGTACACAAATTGAACTGTTCAGCATGTAATACATTCTAATTTAATGCATTGACAACCTTGATAATCATAAGAACAGTACGTGTAAATATACACATGCCTTGCAGAACAGTTGTGGGAAGACTCGTGATGAGACTGATGTCCAAATATGACGGAGGTAGGTCAGGTTTCTTGAGTGTACTTTTGATCAATGCATCATCCGCATAATTTGAAACCACTTTGTTATAAATCAAGGAGGTCATAAAATTACTAGTTTTCTTCTGTAAAAGTGAAAAAAGTCTCTTAAATATAATGCATTATTACACCTCAGGAAACATCTCAAAGGAGTCAAGGAATGGAATTACGTAATTGCAGTGGCCATTAAATTGGTAGACATGGCACCATGCAACACTGCAAATTCCCAAAACCAGCAAAAAAGTTAATTGGTTACTTTTTAAAATGATGTTTGGTTAACGTAATTTCTATTACATTTACAGAAATTCATGTGAGTTGTCAGGCACTGAACTTGTGACCTATTCTAGATAACAATTCTGTATGTTGACAATGTTGCATGAAGCATGGCTAACTCAAACAGCTAAATTGTATTTTTGCACCATAATAGAATAAGATTGTGTTAACTTCATTCTAACATTGAACATTCTGTACGTCTGCTAGATATATAAAATGCACAGAAATCATTTTTAATAAAGTTAAATTAAACAAAATTATGTCAACCATAAAAGTTCCAAAGTCTTTGAGTGCTCAGTTGTTTGGTAATATCAATGTTGGAACGTACCTTCAAATGCACTGTGCTCAAGGTCATAGTCTTCTAACAGAGACCAATGAAATCCTGTAATTTCTTTTTCTGAGCCAAAATTGCCCTGCTATCTTACTTCAAGCATTTAACAAATTCAATAAAAGCCTCTCAATCACTATATTTCACATTTCTAAAAAAAGCCCATAATATATTTGGCACATCATGTCAAGCCTCTTAATGTGAATTATCTTTTATAGTTGCTTATTCCAATTAAGAAGAAATTACACTGAGGCAGAGATTGCTGTTGTGAGGTCATGAAAAAATTATGGAAGTATTTTAGAAAAATGCATGCCAATGGCAAAAGTACAAAAAGTTGACCATCATTGTGTTCCAATGACAGGTCACCAGCCAAAGTGTGAACCTAATTCCATCTAACCTGAAATGCCAACACATCTATTCCATACAGGCAGGAGGTTACTTTCTGTTCTCTTGATGCAGTGGTGCAAACATGGATCTGAAACTTTGAGTTATTTCAATTTGTCCATCGTGCCTCCAAGTTGTTCTTCATTCATGTCTTGTGTGCTTCAGAATCCGATAATACTATCCCCTACTTTCATTACCAGAGACTCTCATGGATAACTACTAGAAGGCAAATACTTCTGCCATTGGCATCCCTTTTTCAAAAATCCTGCCTTCGAGGGTAGTAGAAGATATGGCAATAATAGTTTCTAAAGGAAATTTGAAGGATACTTGATGGAAATAAATTTGCAGAGCTTTGGGGATAGACTGAGAAATGGAACTGATAGGAATGTTCGACAGAAAGCTAGCATGGACTTGATGGACCAAATTACTTTCTGCTTTGCTGTATGGATTCTGACTTTAAATGATGGCAGCACATGAAAGTCACAAAAGGGGAAAAAAAAGCAGCTTGATGGGGGACATCGATGAGAGCTTTCTTACTGGTATACTAAAACCACGCCTACATATATTGGGACTAATTTTATCTGTAGATTTTGCCATATCTGGTTACCTCAGCTGCCAAGGTAAATTGTGGCAAATGTAAAAGGCAAGCAGCAGTAAAATATTACCTATTGTTGTGGTGGAGTATTTTATGAAAAAAATATCAGGAGCCTTGAGGAACAGGTCAATGATCGTTTATGAAGTAAACATTAGGAGAGTCCACCCAGCAAAGATTCTGAGGTAGCAGCACTCTAACTCAACGAGGATTCATCAGATATTTCCACATAGTAAAGTCACTTAGATATTACCTTACTCGAATTCTAAAATGGTTTGTTTTAGACAAATACCCTGCTTTTCACACATTCCAGAAGTGACAAGGTACCTAATACCTCCGGTCTCATCACTCCCTATCTTCCCAGGTACCATCCTATCTCCTCTCCAAAACCTGTGCTTCGTTCCCACCCTTGACTAAACCCCATTGCTTTGGCTTTCTTGGTGAGGTCATTCTCACATTCTATTTCCATTGAAGACCTCAGGGTTAGTACTGGTTCATCCAGGTTGCATTTTCACAGAAACTCTGCTGCATCAGCATCTGAGCGTGTTTATGTGGTTTAACTAACTTTTCTTTTAAGCTATTTTCTTGTAATTTTATCTCAAATAAATTTAAAAGAAATCTTAAATGATTTATATGATTATATGCTTATGAAGTTAACTAAAACACCACCTCATTTTAAGATCAGCTGGAAATTCATGGGGATTTACAGATTAACTCATGTCATACCCAAATTGCCTGTCACATCCATCAATTGCACCTTTCAAAGGGAAACATAATTGTGTTCTAACCATCTTTAAGATTACAAATTAGATGCTGGGAACATATAATCTGGGTGAAAATTTCATGGATAATATACTAGGTGAAATATTCTGTTTCATGTGAGGAAAATTCCACCAACTTATTTTGTCCTATTTACACTCGAGGCTATACACTTTGTTACAACTTTCAATATCATCTGTTCTTCAATCATGAGTTCAACATTGTATGGAACTGTAACTGGAAACAATTTGATTAAAAATTTATTGTAATAGTTATATTCTGAATGGAAACAGATTGTGTTTTCTAGAAAAGCAAGCATGGAGTAAGGTGAATAGGTTTAATGGGCAATAAAGGGAACATCTTAGACTGATAATAGCTCAAAATATGCCAGTAGAATTCTAGATTTTGTGTTGTATATAAAAAATAAAACTCAAGATAAAACTGTGAACCTATATTAAAACTTTATTTGGAACTCAGGTTGAAAACATTGTGCAGGATTGGGCTCCCATGAAAGCTTTTGGAACACAGGAACAAGAGTCATTCAGCCTGTTCAGCTGGTCCTTGCATTCAATACGAACCACGATTGATTGAGCATGTGAATGCCTTTTATTCACACCATCCTTCTAAACACCATAGGTAATCAGAAGTTTATCAATATCTACCTTAAATATACACATTCCACTGCACTCTGATGTAAAGAATTCTCAACCATCAGAGAAAAAAAAAATGTCCTTATCTAAGTGGCAACTCCCTTATTTTTAAAATTGTGCCTCTTTGTTCTTGACTCCCCAACCAGTTGAAACATCTTACTTGCTTTTAACCTGTCTATCTCTTAAGTACTTTGTGAGTTTCAATGAGATCATATCTCATTGTTCGAAACTGTGGCTTATACAAGCCCAGTGTGCCCAACCTTTCTTCATAGGACTGTCCTGCCATTCCTGAAATAAGTCTGGTGAACCTTTGCTACATTCCTCTACGGCAACAATATCTTTCCAGAGAAAAGGAGATCAAAACTGCACACAGTACTCCAACGGCAGTCTAACCAAATTCCTATACAACTGAAGCAAGACTTTCAATACTTCTGTACTCAAAGCTCATCAAACGCAATTTCCCATTTGCAAATGCTGACAATGCACAATCAGATTATTATCCACTGCCTATTTGTCACATCCTTTATAATAAATTCTAGTATTTTCCCTTCTACTGATGTAAGAATAACAGGTTTGTAGTTCCCTATTTTCTGTCTTGCTCCTTTCTTAAATAGAGAGGTGGCATTTATTTCTGCAGAGTGTAAGGCAGCCATTCTAGAATCTATAGAATTTTGGAAAATTGTCAACAATGCATTGACTATCTCTATAGCTTGCCCCTTCAATTCTCCAGGAGATAGGCCACCAGGTCTTAGGGATTTATCAACTTTCAGCTCCATTAACCTATCCAGCACAATATTGTTACTAATATTAATTTCCATCATCATCTTATTCTCCCTGGCCACTTGGATCTCTAGTTCTGGGAGATTTCTTCAATTTCTTTAAGTGGGCTCATATCAGATTCAGAAAGGTGTCATGAGAGATGGAGAAAGAGGGAGAAAGAAAGAGAGAGAGATGGAAGGAGAGAGAGAGAGAGATGGAAGGAGAGAAAGAGAGAGAGAGAGTGTTAGAGGAAGGAGAGAAAGAGAGAGAGAGAGAGAGGAGGAGGGAGAGGAAAGTCCAGTTACAAGAAACATTAACTCTTTTTTTGCAACAGACACTACCTGACCAAGTATTTCTCACTTGTTCTGAATGTTTGATCATATAGGCCTACTTCACTCTCAGTCACATCACTATACAGTGACCCTCCTTCAGCTCATTTTCTGCTAAAACACTCATCCATACGATTACTACCTCTAGCCTTGACCATTTCAACACTCTCCTGGCTAACCTCTTATCTTGCACCTTACCGAAAACCTGTGCTCATCCAAAACTTTCTTTTTAAGTTTCATTCACCCATCATTCCCATGCCTGCTAACCTATACTGCCTCTTGGTCTGACAATATCTCAACTTTAAAATCCTGATCCTTGCTTTAAAATACTTCCATGATCTTGTGTCTCTCTATCTCTGTAATCTCTCTCGGCCCTACATATCCAAGATCTCTACACTACACCAATTATAAATCACCTAAGCAATCCAGATTTTAATCACTCCACCGACAACCATGTTTTCAGCTGCCTTGAGCTTAATCACCTTCCTTTTAAGTCTTCAATCAAGATATTTCCAAAAATCTTCTTTGACTAAAGTTTTCAATCACCTGTCCTGGTGCTTTTTTCTCTGGCTTTGTGTCATTTTTAAAAATTGGTATCAATCTTGTTGAACGATATGTTGTCTTAAATGTGCAACATAATTGTAAGCAGTTAAGTTTAACTGAGTGGCCCAAGTGTTATAATACCTGTGCATTAATTTCTGTACAGTTTACCTCACTGAAAACAGGTATTGAATCAAGGGCAAAGTGGAAAACTGATGTTAAAAATAACTATTACTCAAGTTATTCTTTACCTGCATCATTTTCAGAAACATTTACTTCTGCAACATGCAGATGGGTGCTTTTTGGTTGAAGAGATCTTTCTGCTGAGTTTCTGGAAGACGATTGAACTATTCCATGAAGAAGAGACTGAAACAATAAAAAGCAACAATTTGCATTTACGTAGCACCTTTAGTGGAGTAAACTGTTCGAGCTGCTTCACAGAAGAGTTATCACATAAAATTTAATAGTGACCCACACAGGATATAATACGCGACATGGCCAAAATCATGGTCAAAGAAATAGTTCTTAACACAAGACAGAAAGACAGGCAGAAATATGGAGAGGTTTAGGGAGATGATTCCAGAGCCTAGAGACCCCCGGCAGCTGAAGACAAAGCCAACAATATTGGAATAAGTATCAGAATAACAGACAGGAACAGAATGGTTCAACAAGTAAACACAAAGATGGGTATGCAATGACATTTAAAAAATGCACAGGATTTTAGTGTCAGTGGGAAGGTCAACATTTATTGATGGCCCCCAAGTGCCCTTGAGAAGGTGTCTTAAGCCATTGCAGCCCATGTGATGAGGATTTCACAGGATGACAGGCCATTTCAAAGGGCAGTTAAGAGTCAACCACGTTGCTGCCGGTCTGAAGTATCAATGGCCAGATCAGGTAAGGACAGAAGATTCCCCTCTCTAATGAACATTAATGAAGCAGACCGGTTTTTAAGACAATCTGCTAGTTGCATTTGCCACCATCATTAATAAAGCTCATCACTCCAGGGTTATGTTATATTAGCAACTGAATTTAAATTATCCAGTTGCCACTTTGGCATTTGAAATCCTGTCTCTTGAACACTATTCAACACCTCTGGATTACTAAATCAGTAAAACGACTACAATACTCCCGCATGCCAAGCTAGATTTCACATAAATTTGCACCTTAACTTAGAAAGTCTTCATCTCAACACTGATGGAAGAACAAAGATAAAAGTAACTGCTTAATAAGACTAAAGTCACTCAAACATCCGCAAACATTTACTCCCTCCACCACTGACACTCAGCAGCAGCAATGTGTATTATATACAAGATGCACTGCAGAAATTCGCCAAATATCCTTAGACAACACCTTCCAAACACACTTCTACCTAGAATGACAAGGGCAGCAGATACACGAGAACATGAACATCTGCAAATTCCTCTCGAAGTCTCTCACCATTCTGAATTGGAAATATATCACCATTCCTTCACTATTGGTGGGTCAAAATCCTGGAAGACCCCTCTAACAGCATTATGGGTCTAACTACAGCAGTTCAAGAAAGCAGCTCACCATCACCTTCTCAAGGGCAACTAGGTACAGACAATAAATGCTGGTCCAGCCAGAAATGCCCTTGTCCAAGACGTAGTTTTAAAAAAAAAAGAGAAAACTCTCCAGTGACTGAGTAATACCGAATGTAGAGGAATATCACTGTGTCTGTGGGTGGGTGGCCAGTTATCATATCCCTCCATTAACTCCTCTGTGAAGAATTTTTGGGCCAACTATCTTCAATTGCTTCCTCAATTTCTTTTTCCCTGCATTCTAAATGAGTCGGTTAGCTGATGATTCCAGTTTCATTCATAACCCCCCTGCTAATTAGGCAGCCAATACCTGCCTTGAGCAATTCTCACCAATCTCCTAAGTGGGTGTAGACATGACACAAACACAACACCCAGGAAAGAGCAGGTTTATTAATCAATGCCCCTTTTACTCGATCCATCATTGAATGTGGCTGGAATTAGCATGATCCTCATAATGTAGTGCAGCAACTTAGTCATTTAAGTAACATCATCCTCTACTGTGAGCCCTTCTGTTGAGAAGCATCAAGTCCAAGTTCCTCAGTATATCATCCTGACTGTGGATTATTTAGCTATTACTTCATTGATTATATGTTGAAATCTTGGGATGCCCTAAAAGCAACACAAGAACTGCACCCTTTCAAGTCCAACCAATTAGAATAACTAGGGATGGGCACTAAATATGTCCATTCAAGTATCACCCAAACCCCAGAATATGTTTCCGAAAATTGCATACATGTTCATAAGAGACTAGAGAGAGCAGACAAAAGGTAGTTAATAGCTTCAAAGTTCAACACACTTAACAGTTATTAAGTAAAATAAACCAAAGGGCACAAATTATTTCCTCAAAAAGAAAACAGGATATTTCTAAACATAAAATTCTAGCAGATCCAAGGAGGAAAATGAGAATTAACTCAAATTAAATAATTTCCTTGCATTCCAATACCAAAGTAGTTGTCACTTAACACCATTTCTGCTTCTATTCCATTTCACGTCTGATATCAAATTATACTGCACACTGTCCTCTCAGCAAGTAAAACAAGCTGCAATACTAGGACCATGACTTGCGAAAGAGCAAATAACAATCAAGCAGAGCATCAGGATATCTATAAAAAATACTAGACCTGCTCACTGTAAAGAAAAACTGATTTGTTCAGAGCCAAACACTGGTATCTAAGCTGAATTTGCTTGGCTCACAATTGGCAGTACACTAAATCCTGGAGACAAGATTCCAAACTGAACTCCCAATCTGGAAATCACTGGTTGGAATTGTAAGCATTGCACTTCCAAGGTCAGATAAGTTTGAACGTACAATTTCAAAACTTTGTCCATGTAGAACATTTAATTAAGGTACCACAGGTAAAAAAAAATTAAATTTCTGATTGGCTCTGTTCACATATTTGCCTGATATAGCTAACGTGTTGGAAGCAGCTGAAAATTAAGTTTACTTTCCAAACAAGAAGGGTGTTATACTTCTGACTTTAAAAATACCTTCATAAAAGTAAGAAACTGGATAGTATTCAGTTTCTGAACAGAAATGAAAATTTAGACCAAACAGCATAATTTGCATTCGAAAAATGAAAAAGTCCTTTATCAATACAATGAAGAATTCTACAGACACAATGCATGACAGAATCTTGATATAATCGTTACAGCTGGATGCTATTTAGATGAATTGAAAGATAAATTCAGGGTTTCATTCTCCCACCACAGCTTTCTTTAAAAGGATAAAACTAAAGAAAGTTTCAGTTACAGCCAATTGTATCTAGTATGCCCTTCTTAAATTGCAACCCACCTTGCTCTGCCCATTGTTTGATGAAGACTTGTACTGGTGAAATGAGTCTACATTGGTGGAAGTAACAAGTTCATCCAGAGCATCCACACGTCTTTTAAGGCTGGTCAGATTGCCCTCCGTCTGTTGCTTTCGTTTACATAGTGTTTCAGCTTGCTTTGACATGCATTGACGAATCTGTGCCTAAACAAGAGAAAATCTTCAACTCGTTAAAAAGTAAATGATCACAAGATTATTGATGGCATTTGGATTCTTCAGTTAAATTACAATTTTTATTATTCACTATGCATTTGAAATTTCTTATCTTTAAGCTTTCTTGGAAAATATATATTCTGGATAATGTTACTTCAAGGTCCTTAAGTGTTGTTTGAACTTCTAAGAAAGGCATTTGCAGCTTAAAGTAACTCAATGTTTAGAATATCATCCATTCCCAAAAAGAAGTACCTTTTTGGAACATTCCTATGATTATACATGGGGAGGATTGGCAACCTATTGTGTGTGGAAATCATGAATGTGAACCTCAGATGGTCAACCTTTTATTACTCCCTCTTAAAAGTTTATAACTCCAAATATAACAGTTACTCTTGCATTTGGTAAATAAACATGACACATAATAAAATGTTTCATGTGGGCAAGATTTTGATACTATTAATTCAGAGTTACCCGACCCCTAGAAGCATCATGTTTAGAATTTCTAACAGTCAGTGTATGGATTAAGTAAACTGCAGTTTGAATCTTGGCTTCAGTATGTTGTCATTTTGAAGAGTCACATAAATTTGTTTAGTTCCAAGCTCTGAAATAATGCCATATTTCATTACAATTACTGAGTCTAGGGTTTTGATAGATACCCTAGTTCTCTGCTTGCTTAGTTATTTGCACTTTCTCAAATCCTTATGCTATTGTTGTGACTTATTTGAATTATTGAGAGAAGACCTATTTAAAATATGAAATAGAATAGGAACAGAACAGTGTCAAATATAGATCTACCATTTAAAGGCCTATTGAATTTATGTCAAATGGGAATGATGTGTGTTTAGAAGCTGTACAAAAAATTCAGAGAACTTGTCCTAGATACTTTAAGTAAACGAATTGGGAAGTCATTCTGAGGTTGTACAGGAGTACTGCATCCAATTCTGGTCGCCCAGTTATAGGAAGGATATTATTAAGCTGGAGAGAGTTTAGAAGAGATGTACCAGGATGTTGGTGGGTATGAAAGGTTTGAGTTATAAAGAAAGGCTGGATAGGCTGGGACTTCTTTCACTGGAGCATAGAAGGTTGAGAAGTAACCTTATAGAGGTTTATAAAATCATGAGGGGTATAGAATGGGGGCTTTCAAGATTATGGGGCACATGTTTAAGGTCAGAGGAGAGAGATTTAAAAAAAAGACATGGGGGCAATTTTTTTTTGTATACAGACGGTGGTTTGTATGTGGAATGAACTTCTTGAAGAAGTTGTGGACACAGTTACATCTTTTAGAAGACACTTGGATAAGTACATGAATAGGAACGGTTTGGAGGGTTATGGGCCAGGACAGACAGATGGGACTAGTTTAGTTTGGGTTTATGTTCAGCATGGACTGGTTGGACTGAAGGGTCTGTTTCCATCCTATATGACTCTATATGAAGATGTGAACTGAGATAATTCTGTTTTCAATAAATTTTACAGCAATTCTTACGGATTCATTGTGATGTCTTCTGTATCATTGCAACCAATTCCTATGTAAAATGTTAACTATTTCTGATGAATTGTATTTAATTGTCGTGAAAGTGGAAATGGCAATGAATCCAACTATTAATCTGAATTTGTGTACAAATATAAGCAGGATTGTCACTTTTGTATAATTATTATTTTCAGAGTTAGCAATTTTTTCAACCTTGAGGTGATCTTCCTGTTGTCGTAGATTCTCTCTTAGCACATCCCCTCGCCACTGTTCATCCTGGATGGCAGAGGAACAATAATATCCTTTTAATAAATATTTCATGCTTTATATCCTACTTGAGAATGCAGAAAGATTAGGTTCTAGCTCTCCCCCAACTTTGATCTGCAATTGTCTAATGGCTTTTAACATGAGTAATTGATGCTTTTTCTTCATCCTTCCCACTCTTATACAGAAGCCTCACTAATAACTGCATTTTTCCAGTAGCTTGATAATGTGTTGTGTTATAAGAATGTTTGAATCTGTACCCACTATTCTACATTACAAAAAAAATCAATATTCTTTGATAGCATACACTCTGCACAGCCTCCAATGTTCCCACAGGCACTCTCTCAACTCCACTGCCATATTTTATCCACTGTCAAATAGACATAGACATTTCTTTGCAATAAGTAGATAATTTCCTGATGTATGCTCAGGCTTGCGCTAGGAATACAGACAGAATTACAGAAAAACTAGTGCAATATTAGTGAGTTTGCTGGCTGTTTTTAACAAATAAATTTCTATATATAACAATTTTTTTTTCATAAAACACCCAAAGGTTCGAAGTTTAAAAGAATCCTGTAAACCCGAAATTCAATTTAGACACCGTTTTATAACTGAATTTTCAGCAATCTATTTTCTGTAACTTACAAAAAAATTCTAACAAAGTAACCATGACATATGCTCTTGTTCATAAATTTTAGTTATGCTAGTCTTGCTTGAAATAAAAACATTGACAGATAAATTGCCAGCTTTTTTCACCCCAAAGTCTTTTGGAAAAAAAAACACAGGAACTCTTAAAGAACTCTCAAAGAAACTTCATTGGATTAGGAAAGTCACTTCCCCTGCTCCTTTTGATGAACAGTGCATATGGTGACACATTCTTCAAACCAAAAATACTCAAAAATCACATCATATCTACAACTTTACCTTGATTCCCCCCAACTTCCCCTTTGGTGGTGATGATGGATCTTAATTTGGGGACCGAAAATGTTTCATGTGACAAGTTTATAATTTGTTTCTATTATAAATATGGATGTAAGTGGTTATAATGGGAAAAAAAGTTGACTAGGTGTGGATGGAGAAGGTTTATAATATATGAATAATAAGTATTTATATGTTTCATATACTTTTACAACATGAGGTGATTCCTCCACAGTGTGAATTCAGGAATATGAAACAATAACTTATCACAAATATTAAAAATCAACTGCAAAGGAATTTCACCTTAAAATTAAATCTAGTCAGGCTTAATCTTTCATCGAAAGTTTCTCTGGCAAAGGGAACATTATCCTTTAAGCTTCCTGTTTCAATGTGAAGAGTCATCTCCTCTTCCCAAATTTTATCTGGGTCATTCTTCGGTTCCATGCACGACTGATCCAGATCTTTCAAACTACTGCTAATTTCTGCTTTCACATCTGACCGAAGGGTCCTTATGGCTTCCTTTATCTCCTTCTGTTGATGTTCCAATTGTTCCTGACTTCTCAGCTAAAAGATCATTAAAATATTAAAAAGAAGCAGTTGAAGTGTGAATACCCAGAAACCAGTTCATATTTGTTTTCCATTATAAATTATTAGTAATTTTTTCTCCTTTTTTACTTTGTATTCATATGCCACTTGTCTTTCTTAATGAAGAGTAACATTACCAAAACCCTGCTGCTTTTTCATCCTGTGCCATACGATCTGATATTTTCCTCAACTCCCCATGGGCCAGGATCTAATCTCATTTGCATCTTCCCAAGATCAGAAATTTACTGTAGGGAATCACACTTGGTCTTCCTAATATGCTTGATTCTCTCTCAGGAATGCTTTCTTTAAGAAGCAGTACAAAAGGCAAACATAAGTAGTTCTGGTAAAAGAATTGAAAAAGTAAGTTCTGACAATAAATTTTTGCTGGTCATTTTTAGTGGCATTAATGATACTACATCAAAAATATTTTAACCACAGATATTATTGCATTGTTCTTTATTCTTTTGTTATAAAGAAAGATGGTGGTGTGATGCTAATGTCAATAGACTAGCATTCCAAAAGGTTAATGTCATGAGATGGGTTTTGAATCCCACCAATAAAAACTGAAACCAACAATTCCTGCATAGAACAAATTTATTTTGCTTCAGCTAATTGTGAAAAACAATGCTTTTCTTGTCATGTACCTGTTGCTTGAGTTCAAAATATTCCTGTCTCATCTCGTTTAACTCAGTCATGACACGTTTGGTACGTTCATGGTTATCATGCGCAGTCTGATCTCTTGAAGATAATTCATTTTGGAGTCTGTTGTTTTCATGTTTTTGTTCCTGTCCAAAATCAGAAGTAACCCCAGTGGGTTTGTTAGTCCATACAGGGTATCTGGCTATTATAAATTTATCGTTTAATCAATTAATACATTTTTAAATGTTATTCTTTCACAACATTTGTAATTTATCTTAATAGTTATCATCTGAAGCAATAGTGACAGTGATAAATGGGTTGTTATACATTCAGTAGTTCAGTTAAGTTTGTCAACATTAAAATTCTGTTAAACTACAATAGGGACTGGCTACTGCTTCAAAATGGCATGGTGGTCACAGCCACTTACGTTGAGGACTTTCTCCAGTTGAGTTCGCTGAGCTTTAGACTCTTCTTTGATGGCTGCAATATGCTTCTCTGCTTTTTTCCTCTCTGAAAAAATTAGCTCCTGAAGACGAGTTAGATTTTTTTTTGAGAACTCAACTTCTTTATGACAAAATGCAAGTTCACTTAACATTTCTTGCTGCTTTTGTTCTTGGTTGGAAAGCTGATGCTCTGCGACACAACAGAATATGTGATGTAAATCAAATATTTTATAAATAAGAAAAAGGCTCAAGGTAGCTTGGAAACACAATACAGAGTGTATTTTATCCTGGCTTAGGAAGTAACTGCTTAAATATTAATCTTAACTGAGATTCTGACTTGCCGTTGAGGTAAGCAAGCATACCAGCAAGCAACACAATCACTGACAGAAAATTGCTCTGTGCTCCGTGTACATGTCTTGATGGTGTTGAAATCAGGACACCTCCTGTGGCAGGCTTCACAGAAACAAGCAGTCTCCATTAATATGCCAGTAGTCACATACTACTTCTATTAATTGAGAGATATTTTACAGGGTAGTTTTGGTTTTGATATCAACCAGCATTCATGGCTGCCCATCGTCTATGACAGGGCAAGGCATAACGTCAACAAGAGCCAAGAATCTGGTATTTTCCTTTATATCCATGGTGGGATGGAGGCCAATTGTAGTACGCTAAAAGTTACTCTGTCTGAGATTAGCCACATCAAAATAGATTGGTGACTTCATCTGGGATCTCTGCATGGCTCAACTACTCATTATTTGAACTTACAAAGCCACTTGGGTGCCTAAGCCATGTCAGAATCAACATTCAAGACTTACTTAGAGTAGCAATCTGGTTCTCCAGAAAAGTACAATGTTCCTCGTTATGTTGCAGTTTTCTTGATCGTTCCTCCATTAAGTTTACTTTTGCAACAGCCTGTTCAAATTTCTCTCTCTTGTCTGATAGTTCAGCCTCCAAACCTTGGAGGTGGACCTTTACTTTAGACGCAGACTCTTCCAACTTTATCTCCTCACTCTGAATGTCCTTTTCAAGACACTGTAATAACTAAACAGAATAAATTAAAATACCTCAGTAAAGTCTTCCTGCACTTATTATAAAAGCTTCATTACTGACAGTAGATACAACTTGCTGTCATTGCATTGCACCACAGTGCCTTAGGATGAGTATTTATCTCCATATCCGTCCCTCATGTTTTTTGATCTAAGGCACTGGGAAAGTATTTGAAGAGTGGGCATCACATTCAAGTTGGGTCTGGGAAGAGCACATTGAACAAAGTACCCAGGGCATGTGGGGAAGAGGTCACCACCTACCACCTATCAGACCTCTGACACATATCATGGTAGACATTAAAGAAACTCAAAGGGAATTTTAAAATCATGCAACAAAAGGAACCCAAATTTAAAATTAAGGCACTCAAATTCAAAGACTCAATCAACCATGAGGACAAGAGCAGTCATTTCCACTGCTCCCTGTGATCTACGTATTTCAACTGTACCAGATACACAGGAGCACACCACATGGAACATCCCCTCCAAGTCATGCATCCCTGTTTAGGAATCATACCATTGTTCCTTAATTGTCACTGTGTTTAAATCCTGGAAGTCTATACTCAATGGTAGCAGGAACTGCAGATGCTGGAGAATCTGAGATAACAAGGTGTAGAGCTGGATGAACACAGCAGGCCAAGCAGCATCAGAGGAGCAGGAAGGCTGACGTTTCGGGCCTAGACCCTGGAAGGCACGCAGTATTCCAATAGTGGCCTAACCAATGACTTGTACAGCTGC